GAGTGTGGCATGGATTGAGGGAGTGTGGCATGGATTGAGGGAGTGTGGCATGGATTGAGGGAGTGTGGCATGGATTGAGGGAGTGTGGCATGGATTGAGGGAGTGTGGCATGGATTGAGGGAGTGTGGCATGGATTGAGGGAGTGTGGCATGGATTGAGGGAGTGTGGCATGGATTGAGGGAGTGTGGCATGGATTGAGGGAGTGTGGCATGGATTGAGGGAGTGTGGCATGGATTGAGGGAGTGTGGCATGGATTGAGGGAGTGTGGCATGGATTGAGGGAGTGTGGCATGGATTGAGGGAGTGTGGCATGGATTGAGGGAGTGTGGCATGGATTGAGGGAGTGTGGCATGGATTGAGGGAGTGTGGCATGGATTGAGGGAGTGTGGCATGGATGGAGTTGGCATGAGAGGAGTGTGGCATGGATTGAGGGAGTGTGGCATGGATTGAGGGAGTGTGGCATGGAGGGAGGGAGTGTGGCATGGAGGGAGGGAGTGTGGCATGGAGGGAGGGAGTGTGGCATGGAGGGAGGGAGTGTGGCATGGAGGGAGGGAGTGTGGCATGGAGGGAGGGAGTGTGGCATGGAGGGAGGAGTGGGCATGGAGGGAGGGAGTGTGGCATGGAGGGAGGGAGTGTGGCATGGAGGGAGGGAGTGTGGCATGGAGGGAGGGAGTGTGGCATGGAGGAGGGAGTGTGGCATGGAGGGAGGGAGGTGTGGCATGGAGGAGGGAGTGTGGATGGAGGGAGGGTGTGGCATGGAGGGAGGGAGTGTGGCATGGAGGGAGGGAGTGTGGCATGGAGGGAGGGAGTGTGGCATGGAGGGAGGGAGTGTGGCATGGAGGGAGGGAGTGTGGCATGGAGGGAGGGAGTGTGGCATGGAGGGAGGGAGTGTGGCATGGAGGGAGGGAGTGGGCATATGGAGGGAGGGAGTGTGGCATGGAGGGAGGGAGTGTGGCATGGAGGGAGGGAGTGTGGCATGGAGGGAGGGAGTGTGGCATGGAGGGAGGGAGTGTGGCATGGAGGGAGGGAGTGTGGCATGGAGGGAGGGAGTGTGGCATGGAGGGAGGGAGTGGGCATGGAGGGAGGGAGGTGGCATGGAGGGAGGGAGTGTGGCATGGAGGGAGGGAGTGTGGCATGGAGGGAGGGAGTGTGGCATGGAGGGAGGGAGTGTGGCATGGAGGGAGGGAGTGTGGCATGGAGGGAGGGAGTGTGCATGGGAGGGGAGGTGTGGCATGGAGGGAGGGAGTGTGGCATATGGAGGGAGGGAGTGTGGCATGGAGGGAGGGAGTGTGGCATGGAGGGAGGGAGTGTGGCATGGAGGGAGGGAGTGTGGCATGGAGGGAGGGAGTGTGGCATGGAGGGAGGGAGTGTGGCATGGAGGGAGGGAGTGTGGCATGGAGGGAGGGAGTGTGGCATGGAGGGAGGGAGTGTGGCATGGAGGGAGGGAGTGTGGCATGGAGGGAGGAGTGTGGCATGGAGGGAGGAGTGTGGCATGGAGGGAGGGAGTGTGGCATGGAGGGAGGGAGTGTGGCATGGAGGGAGGGAGTGTGGCATGGAGGGAGGGAGTGTGGCATGGAGGGAGGGAGTGTGCATGGAGGAGGGAGTGTGGCATGGAGGGAGGGAGTGTGGCATGGAGGGAGGGAGTGTGGCATGGAGGAGGGAGGTGGATGGGGATGTGGAAGGGAGGGCATGGTGAGGCTGGAGGATGGATTCCTAGAGGAGGATGTGCATGGAGGAGATGTGCATGAGAGGAGTGTAGCATAGGAAGTTACATAGGTTAGCATAGAACAGGGTGTGTGGAAGGGAGGCAGGGAGTGTAGTAGGCAGGGAGGGAAGTAACCCCAGAGAGGGCTTTGATACCTGAAGTCCTTATGGAGGGAGATTCCCCATCCAAACAATCAGTCCTCCCTCTTTCCTCCCCATCTTCTATAATTATTATTATTATAATCAAGGGGGAAGCGCTAAACCCGTAGGATTATACAGCGCCCGGGGGGGAGGGGGATGTGGAAGGCATTCAGGCTTAATTCGGGGAACTGGAGCACAGATCCAATTCCCTAAATCAAGAGCACCTCACCAACGCCAACAAGTCTTCAATAAAGGTATGTAATAGTGATTTAAATATTTATTTATTTTATTTAGTTCTCATTGTTTTGTGTAAGTAAAACTATAATTAATTTTTAAAAAATGTATTTTTTGTTAATATTTTTGGGTGTCTGGAATGTATTAATTGTATTTACACTAATTCTTATGGGAAATATTATTTCGGTTTTAGGCTAATCTTCTGGAATGGATACAGCCGATAACCGAGGGTCCACTATACAGTGGACCCCCGGTTAACGATATTTTTTCACTCCGGAAGTATGTTCAGGTGCCAGTACTGACCGAATTTGTTCCCATAAGGAATATTGTGAAGTAGATTAGTCCATTTCAGACCCCCAAACATACACGTACAAACGCACTTACATAATTGGTCGCAGTCGGAGGTAATCGTTATGCGGGGGTCCACTGTACATGTATATGTTATTCTACTGTGGGGTGTATTTATCATGTTTATATGTTACATAGTGTTTATTATATAATTTTGAAAAAATAGATTGATTAATGAAAATGTGTATATTAACCCTTTCAGGGTCCACAGGCCCTCTCAGAGACTTGTTCTCAGGGTCCCCCAAATTTCAAAAAAAAAAAAAAAAAAAAAATTCTTGTGAAAAGATAGAGAATATTTTCCCGATCATAATGACACCAAAAGTATGATATTTGATGGAAAACTTACGGAATTATGCTCTTGCAAAGTTAGCGTCTCAATGTTTACGCATCGGCGAATTTGCCCACTTTGAACCCTATTTTCAGCCAATTCCAGTGTACTAGTCGACAAAAATCATAACTATTTTGCTAGAACTCCATTTTTTCTATCGAATGAGTACAAGAAACCACCCATTTACCAATTTCAACTATCCAATACAGTGGTCAGAATTTAGCAATTTTGCCAATTTCACACAAATTTCAGAAGATGTCAATTTCCAAATAGGGTCCAGAATAAACAAGAAAGACATTCCTGGCACTAAAATAACAAGTTCTCTGTTCATTAGTCACATCCCCAGGCCCCTCTTATATTTCTTAGGCTTTCCACTTTGAATTTTTCTTACAAAAAATAGAAGATTTACTGTTATGCAGACTACTGCATTAGTGTAGAAATGGTATAAATAATATCAGCGCACTTGTAAAAGAATATTAGACTCGCCAGTTGACGTGTATTGGACGCTTGGCATGATTTGTTTACTTTTGAACTTTGGTAAAAATCGAACATTTCTGCTACTTTGAGCTCAATTTCAAGGTACAGTGGTCCCTCGCTTTTCATAGTTCTTGGCAATCGTAAATTTCGCCAATCATAGGGGTATTTTCGTATAAACATGGACTTGCTTTTCATAGGTTGACTCGCGAATAGTAGTTCGTCCGGGACGCGTACGCACGGTGTGAGCTGGGGCGGCCTCCCTACCCAGCCAGTCTGGCATTGTTTACCAGTGAGTGAAGGTCCCCTCATGTGCTCCTATGAAATATTTCATCATAATCTACTCATTTTAGTGCTTTCAATTACTAAATAAGCTACCATGGCTCCAAAGAAAGCTCCTAGTGCCAAGCCTGTGGTAAAGAAGGTGAGAAATATGTACAGTGGCAAAGTCTTGGGCCATTTTCGGGAAGTGTTAAAGAGACGCCAGAAACAGAGCGCTCTCCACAGTTACTTTGCGAGACAGGACTAGTGACTCTCAAGGTGGTCCTAGTGGCATTAAGAAACAGAGAAGAGAAGCAATTGGTACCTGAGGTGTTGCTGGAAGGGGATTCCCCTTCCAAACTGTAAACAATCCAATCTCTCTCCTCCTCCAGTCTCCCATACACTAAGAAGAATCTCCAATAAAGGTAAGTGTTATGCTGTTAATGTTTCATTCATCATTTCCCATTGTATTGTTTATGTACTATATGTATATTTCATGTAAAAATTTTTTTTGTTTTAATACTTCTGGGTGTCAGGAACAGATTAATTGTATTTACATTATTTCTTATGGGGAAAATTGATTCGCAAATCGTAAATTTAGTTTATAGTAACGGCTCCAGGAACGGATTAATTACGAAAAACGAGGGACCACTGTACTTTTCATTGTAAAACCAGTCAAAATCATCTCAATTTCTGTAATATGTCTTCGATTCTATAAAATGAGACCAGGAAAACTAGAATACAACAATAAATACCATACGAAAATACAGTGCAAAGTCGCTGTTTTAATCCAAAAACACGGTCAGTTTTTTCTCTCTCATTACGCACTGTGTGCTGCAGGATTTTTTTTTTTTATACTGCGCACACTGACCACATAGACCCATTCTTTCATATGTAGGCCTACCAGCTTTCACTAGATTTGAGGGCACTAGAATTTAGGCGTACTAGTATGGCTGAAACCCTGAAAGGGTTAATGTAATATGACATTTAATAAGTATTACAGTGGTACCCTGAGTTTTGTATAGCTCCCAACTTGAAAATTATGTAAGTGCTTTTGTAAGTGTATTTTTGGGGGTCTGAAACGGACTAATTTACATTCCTTATAGGAACAAATTAGTTCGGTAATGGCACTCAAACAGCCTTCTCGAACAAATTATGGCCGAAACTCTGGGTACCACTGTATTATCATTACTAATATGGTGTCTTGAGACATAAGACACTGATTTTAATGTGCCAGAACAGTGTGTAAATATATTTAGGTGCAGATATACATAAATATACTTATCAGAGTATATATAAAATACGAAATAACTCTTAAAAACACTTGAAAATTTGGAAAGATGTGGTGCTCAGAGCTCGCAGAGAATGTAAACAAATCAGGTGGGGCACGGTGACCATATTAGAAGGGAGGGTGGGGGGAGCCATATAGAGTTTTGGTCATAATTTTAAATGACCGTATTAACTGTGTATAAATTAAAAATTTTCTCAATATGAATGGAAAATCAAACCAGTTTTTTCTCATATACAAATATATTTATTGTAAGTAAACAACTGCAACTGTATATTACACACTGGAAAATAAGTTAACCATTCCCTGCCTAGGATACCATATATACAGTGTACATGACTGAGTGACGGTCAGTCAGGCACATGCAGGGAGGCGGGTCTGTTGCTTCTTGTTCACCATTCTCATCATCATACCTAGTCAATATTTCATACCTGATTTTCAACCCACCTACACCTGTTGATCATATCACACCTGATTAGCTGTCACCTGCTGACTAATAAAGGGGTATACTGACTAAGATGTACACAAGCCAGTGTTCATAGTGATATCAGTGTCGAGTACTTCAGCCTCGAGTAAAAATAATAATCCTGTAGAAATTTGTGCACAAGACTAAGCTTCTTTTATGTACATTATATAAAAATTCTCTGACTTTTTAACATTAATAATACAAGACAATTTGGTATGAATGTGTTATATACCAGCACTGTAACAAAAATTACACTGTTTATTCAAGACATATAGAGCATATTGCAAAAGTTAAAGGCATGTGAGCAGGAAAGCTTAGGTTAAGTCTTCAGTGATTAACATTGTTCAGTCAGTCATCACCCCCACTGCTAGCATTAATCAGAGGGACTGGACAGTAACTCGTTGCCATGATGTGGAAGCCATTTCCAGATAACATGGATTTTGTCTGGCACTCCTTGTTGTCAGTACCTAGTTATTCATTATCCATGGGTGAGGATTCTTTAAAACACAAATGCAGTGTGGAAACGGCACACTAAGAAATGTGGACAATGAATTTGACTACCGGAGCGTTGTCAAGGTTCTTTGCCCTCATCCCCAACGTTTAACAGGAACAAAGATTATTTTGGGGAGAGATTTAAGAACCTTTCCTGTGACTTCATCAAGGATATGCACATACAGCATCTATAAAAAAAAAAAAAATTCTAATTTCTGTGTGAGTGGTAAACTATGGGAGTATCCTTTCCCATTTTCAAAGACTCCAAATTGACTGCCGTCAATGTCTAAGTGGTTTCAGAGAGACCACTTCCGTAGCACTGCGTTACCTTGTTTGTTCCAGTCCTCTCGGGAGATTCTAGACTGTACAAAGGCTGGGGACTCTGCCAGCACACATGCACCAATGTAGGCAGCATGGTAACGGTAAGGGGAGGCATGGACCTGTGGGAAGAAATTGCAGAGTCGTTAAAACTATTAACCCTTGCAAGGTCCAGACCCCCGATCTGATAATTACTCTCGGGGTCAAAGAATTTAATTAAATCAATGTTTGTTATAAAAGGAATGAAATGACTAGCGACACCTATGAGTACTTGTGGTCAACTGATTTCAAACATTACATTCATGAAGGTAATGAGGCAAACTGAATGAGCTGTGACAAAACAAGTAGGGGAACAAAATAACAAAAATGATCAATACTGTGACTGGGACTATGCACAAATAGCCCACACATAAGAGAGAGGAGCTTACGACGAAGTTTGTCCGACTTGGACCATTTACAAAGTCACACTAACAGAAAGAGGAGGCAGTATCCATAGGCTAGCAGACGGGTAGTAGTAATAGTGGAGTCAAAGACCAAGAAAGAGGAGCACTACAGGATAGCTAGGGGCCCACTAAGGATAGGAACACAAACACAGGGGGGGGATAAAAAGAACCAAATATTCAAGGCAGATGAAAGAAAACCTAAAGGGGAAAAAGAAAAAACCACTAATAGCAGTGAAGTCCTTTGCTGGAACATTTGGCACTCAAGTGGGCTTTTAAGTACAGTGCAGAAGAAACAGTCATTCAGGGTGTAAAACTTGAGTGCAGACTTCAGGTACATCACGTTTAGGATAAAATGTGGTACTGCATGTGGCCTGTAGTGCCATATCTGGTTCTAAATTGAGCTATGGGAAAGGGGGGTTGCTAAAGTAAACATTCCACCATTTCATTTGGTGTTTGTCAGTTTTATTGTAGATAATTCCAAGAATCTATGCTCAGGATTATTGTTCTCCTGAAACGGTGGCTAGGTTCTGTCCAGTGCCATTAAGTGTGACGGCATGAGTTTGTCTTGCACGTGCACATGTTATTAACATTGTTAATTTTGCAGGCACATCTGTAGTCCTGCAGACAAATAGGTAAACTTCTAGTGTGTCTATTCATCTACAAGATCACAAATATACCCATAGATTGGATAACATCAATAAAGCATGTCACATCTAGAAGAGTGAGACAAAGCCATGCTGCTGTTCTAGAAGAATAAGGATGCTTAGATACCTGCAGTTCTCCACAACAAAACTTGCATCATTAAACAAAATTGTTGGATATTTACTTTGACAATCCCCTATAGCTCTCGTATTTCTTAAACAGAGAAAACCTGACATGGTGTGGTAGGCCATATGAATTACCTGACTAACTTAAACCTAATTTTTGTGAAGCCTGCTCACAACTTTTACACCCTGGACGACTAAGTTCTTATCTTGTATTTATTTTAAATAAGCCCACTCATAGATGAAACTGTACTGATGGAGGACTTCTCTGCTATTGGTGTCTTCCATCACTGGAGGAATGACCTAAACCCATAGGCAAGGCAATCAGGTTTGATCTAAGGAAAGAAAGGTCAGGTCAAATTTCTTATACAAGGAACCCCTCAACACCTTCAAGGAACCTCCCTCGTGGGAAGCTGGTTTTTGGGAGGTTGTATAACCCTCTATGGGTTCAGCACTCCATGAATGTCATTATAATCAGAAAACTGATGCTGAGCCTTTGGTAATCTATCAATAATTGACCAAGCAACATCTGCAAAGCCATTAGACACAAAAGATTTCAGGCTCATTTTCAGACTGTAGACCGGAATTGCTTTTGTAATTCTGGCTTTTATATTTGTGGGGAAGCAGTAAGCTCATATTGGTCATACAGCTCCTAGGAAATATAGTAGGTTGGTAGACAGCAACCACCCTGGGAGGAACTACCGTCTTGCCAGGTGACTGTGAAACAGAAACCTGTAACTGTTTCACGTGATGGTAGGATTGTTGGTGTGTCTTTTCTGTCTCATAAACATGCTGGATAACAGGTATATCTTGCTACTTCTACTTACTTAGGTAACACTACACAGGCATGCACACACACATATGTATATGTACACTCATCAAGGTTTTCTTAATAGCTTTTGCTCTTCTTTATTTCCATCTATTGTCCATGGGGAAGTGGAAAAGAATCTTTCCTCTGTAAGCCATGCTTGTCATACGAGGTGACTAAAATGCCGGGAGCAATGGGCTAGTAACCCCTTCTCCTATATACATTTACTAAAAAAGAGAAGAAAAACTTTATAAAGCTAGGATGCTTGAATGTGCATGGATGTAGTGCTGATAAGAGATGACTGTTGATGTTATGAATGAAAAGAAGCTGGATGTCCTGGCCCTAAGCGAAACAAAGCTGAAGGGGATAGGCGAGTTTCAGTGGAGAGAAATGGGATTAAGTCATTAGTATCTAAGAGTTAGAGCTAAGGAAGGGGGAATATAAATGTGTAAATTCAAGGATTGTGGATTAAAATAAGGGTCGGATGCAAAAAGTGGGTCATAATAAGCGTGTGTGTACCTGGAGAAGAGAGGAGTGTAGAGGAGAGAGAAATTTTGGGAAATTTAAGTGAATATATAGGAACCTTTGAACTAAGTGAGAGAGTAATTGTGGTAGGAGATCTAAATGCTAAGTATGAGAAACATTTAGAGAGGGTGTGGTAGGTAAGGTTTGGGTGCCAGGTGTAAATGATAATGCAAGCCCTTTGATTGAACTTTGTATAGAAAGGGGTTTTAGCAATTTTTATTGCATGCGACCAGGAACCTAAGAGCCATACAAACAGGGCCCTCCTGTACTTCAAAATAAATTCCCATCTCTCTCTGTACTTATGCTTTATTCAAGAGAAGTGTCATGCTGCCAGTGACAGGCTCTTTGTATAAAGAAATCGGTTTAATCTTGATTACTTCCCATACTCTAGATGCCTTATAACCCCTATGAGTTTGGTGCATCCCTATTAATAATTCACCAGTATTAATATATGGTATGCTACACACGTGAGAACTCTTACCTTGGGTCGGATGGCTGGTGGTGTGAGGTTGTCAATCTCTGTAGTGAGTCTGTCAACCAGACCAGGGAGCTGAGTCACGCCACCTGCAAGGAAGATGCTGCGACTCATCTCCTTTCGGATGTCCATACTGCATTCCTGTGAGAACAGAAATACCATACACTGGTAATTTACACACACATACACACCTTTATACTGCACAATACAGTTGTATATCTATGTGCAAAGTACACTGTATTGTAACAATCTCAGTGTTTCATAATAGAGGAGTCAGAAAGGAAGACAAAGAAATGGGGGTAAATGCAAAAGAATGGGGGGTCAAAACTGGCAGTTCTTTAACATAAACTTGTAGTACGTACATGAGAAAACTGGTCTCAAGTGTAGGAAAAGAATGTAAGACCTGGAATTAAGTGTTTAAGGCAGATCACTGAGCTGTATGAAAACTAGAAGATGCATCCAAGCACTCAGCATAGACAACAAAATCCTCACATCCTAGACAGGATCTTGCGAGGTGTAGAATTAGCTGCCTAGTAAGGTAAGAGTGAAAACTCTTTTCAAAGATAACTTTCTTTGATTAACCATAGGAAGTCTTTCTCCATAAGCCATGCATGTCATAAGAGGCAACTAAAATGCCAGGAACAATGAGCTAGTAACCCCCTTCTCCTTTATACATTACTAAATTTAAAAGAAGAAACTTTCTTTTCTCTTTTTATGCCTTTTATGCCACCCTGCCTCTGTGGGATACAGCCAGTTTGTTGAAAAACAAAACGGCTATATTTCGACTAGGTAGGGTGACCTAAAAAGAAAAATGAAAATTCTTCCTTTTAAATTCAGTAATTTATAAAGGAGAAGGGGTTACTTGCTGTTGGCATTTTAGTCGCCTCTTGCGACATGCATGGCTTAGGGAGGAAGAATTCTTTTCTACTCACCCCATGGAGGTAAGAGGAAATAAAGAACAAGAACCATTAAGTAAACAGAAGGAAACCCACATCAATGTACTCACCTATTTGTACTAACCTATTTGTGGTTGCAGGGGTTGATTCATAGCTCCTGGCCCCACCTCTTCACCGATTGCTACTAGGTCCTCTCTCTCTCCCTGCTCCACGAGCTTTATCAAACCTCATCTTAAAACTATATGTTTCCTGCCTCCAGTATGTCACTTTCTAGGCTATTCCACTGCCTGACAATTCTATGACTGAAGAAATACTTCCTAAGATCTCTTTGAATCATATGAGTCTTCAACTTCCAATTGTGACCCCTTGTTTCTATGTCTCATCTCTGGAACATCCTGTCTTTGTCCAACTTGTCTATTCTGAGCAGTATTTTATGTCGTTAAGATTAAGATTGTAATCAAAGCACGGAACCACATGATCACTAGCTCCAAGGGGCATTTCATACATGTTATCATCAATGTCCGAACTACTCGATGTGAATACAAGGTCCAGTCTTGCTGGATCATCCTCACCTCTCTCTCTAGTAGTGTCTCTAACATGTTGATGCATGAGGTTCTCCAGTATATATATGCATGTACATGCCTGTGTAGTGTGACCCAAGTTTAAGTAGAAGTAGCAAGATGTACCTGTTAAGCCATGTGTATATGAGACAGAAAAATGGCACCAGCAATCCTACCATCATGCAAAACAATTACAGGTTTCTATTTCACACTAGCTTGGCAGGACAGTGCATGTATGTATGTTATTTTTTTTTTTATTAACACACTGGCTCCCCCAACAAGGCAGGGTGGTGCAAAAAAGAAAAACTTTCATCTTGTATGTATATATATATATGTATGTACATACTTGCATACGCGCACACATATATAGATACACATACACACAGTAGAACCCCCATATCCACTGATTCAATATCCATGGTTTCAGTTATCCATGGTTTACTGTGGCCCAAAAATACCTCTTAATTTTGCATAATAATGGCCCCAAAGTATAAAAGTAGAGAAGCTGGCAGTTCTCCAAAGCCTAAGAGAAGCCTTGAAGTGTTTACCATCAGTGAAAAAATTATAAATTATGCACTTATTGTGCATGATTTATCAATTAACCTGTATAACAGGTATGTATAGGACTTATATATAGGGTTTGCTACTATCCACGGTTTCGGTATCCACGGCAGGTCCTTGGAACATATCCCCCATGGATACGGGGGCCCTAATATACATGCATGTGCAAAACTTACCATGATTGCCTTGTGGACTAGCTTGTGCAGACCAGGATGGTCGAGCCCCCAGGCATCAGGGTTGAATAATCCCTCAGTTGCTTGGAAACGCCCAAAATCCAATGAGATGGTCCTGTAAAGCAAAGGTTTAGAGAATTCTTCTATGTTTATTTTTCTTTTTAATGCACTGGTTGTCTCCCACTGAGGCAGGGTGACCCGAAAGAAAAAAGAAACAAAAGTTTTTCTTCTTGCATTTACTAATTCATATAGGAGAAGGGGTTACTAGCCTCCTTGCTCTTGACATTTTAGTCACCTCTTACAACATGCATGGTTTACGGAGGAAGGATTGTATATACACGTATGTTGGTAGAATTACCGACAATATGTAAAGTAAAAGGATGCAAGTGCAACTCATGTGATTTTTATTGTGGCAATGTTTCGCTGTCCAGGAGCATTGTCAAGCTGGAGGAAGGATTCTTTTTCCATTTTCCCCGTGGAGTCTTTTATGTTTATAATGAATATATTTGCAGTTTTGAGTATGTCAAGAACATTTATTTAGCTACAGTCATGTAAAAAACTGAGTTATTAATACTGATAATAATGGTGAAAGTAGCACCTTCAAATAATAATAATCCTCCATGGGGAAGTGGAACAGAATTCTTCCTCCGTAAGCCATGCGTGTTGTAAAAGGCGACTAAAATGCCGGGAGCAAGGGGCTAGTAACCCCTTCTCCTGTATATATTACTAAATGTAAAAGGAGAAACTTTCATTTTTTCTTTTGGGCCACCCCACCTCGGTGGGATACGGCCGGTGTGTTGAAAGAATAATAATAATAATTTTATTATTATTATTATTATTATTATTATAATACAACAGCATTCAAGGAAAAAATTATTCCATCAACACCAGCAAAAAAAAATTGATTCAATGATTAAAAATATTCCCACTGAGACTCACTGGTAGGGACAATCGTTGGTGTGGAAGTACTCGCTCAAGGTGACTTCCTTCTCGTACAGGTCAGGATTGTTGGTGCACCGTGCCCTCTCTGTGTTATAATGGTGAGCACAGTAGCATATGTTCTCCAGCACCTGATGCAGCACAATTAGGTTAGCAAGCAAGCTGTCAAGTAGATGTTATACAGTAACTCCTCGATTTACAAACACGTTGAGAATTTTCTGTATTGTGTATAATTATTATACCATTATTGTGTATATCATTATTATACACAATTCAAGAGGTCCCAGATGTGTTCATAAGTTGAGGACTTCCTGTATATTGTACTGATACAAACGTTCAATATGCTCGTTTCTGAACCAATGTACAGTATTATTTCTAATATTTGGCTAAAATGTTTTTTCTATTCTTATTATTTTTATGCATTTGTAGATCTGCATGATAATTGTACATGGTTAGAGTTGTGACTAAATGAATTTGCAAATGTACTGTAGGGAGGAGCGAGCGATAATGGAAGGGTATATATATATCTAATATAGTATCTATTACATACTAAATAATATTGCTAATAAATTTATATCTTATAAAGTAGGAAAAAATGCTAATAAGGGAGATAGAAATAAAGAAGAGACAAAGGAGGTGAGAGAAGAGGACCAGGAGTTGAGGAAAGAGTAGGAGAAAAAAGAAGTCAAGAGAGTGGAGAAGAACAAACATCCAGAGCTAAACTCACTTGTCTAATAATATAACTTTCCACCTCGTTGATAAGCGACACGTTCCTCATGTATAGGAACTGCCGGAGGTGGTCAAGGATGCGGTACCCACCATATGGGACTCTGGATACACCACCATCCACAATGTACCCTGCAGAAGCAGCAGGAGTAAGTAGGGGTAAGGTAAGCAGAAGTGCATGCATACATGTACATGCACATGCATTTGACAATACCCCAGGAGGCTCCCACAATAAATGGTATACTAACTCACAGTGACCTATTTACATTTAAGTCAATAGAGACGGTATGAAGACTTGCCCATACATCTCGACTTGTTCTGATTTCAAATCTGGACCCATAAGGTTATGAGCAGACCACTGCTTTATAGGCTATGTTGACATGTTTGTAATCAGGCTAAAACACAAGATGGCATATTGATCCTCAGTTACAGATTAAATTGCTAGCAATCAACCACATAGCAAAACATTAATCATTAATCACAGATTTTTGGTAGCAGCATGCCTGTCAACCATAGGTTTGGCCATTTATTAAACACAGATTCAGAGAACTAACCATCAATCACTGGCACAATATCCATCCTCTCGCCGACATCGACGACTATTCCAGAGGTGGCATTGTAAGCGTAGAGAGCGAGGATTGACTGATGAGTCAGGTTGACAGACCTGACGCCGAACTTGTCAAAAAGGACGCGCAGGAGTTCCGTCTGGGTGTTAGTATTGAGGACTCTTGGCACCGAGAGCTGGATGTGGTAATTCTTGGGATCCACCTTTAGTTCGGCAAAGGTCTTCTGCAGGAGACTTGAGACAGCACTCAGGTCCACAGAATACTGGGTGTCAGGGAAAAGAGAGAGCTCTGAGCATGGTTTTCTTACACTGTACAATCTCAGTTGAATTTTCTGGCATACAATGCCTCTTTTACTTATTTTTACAGTACAATATATCATTCTTTGGTGAGCTTAATAATCAGAGATATGCATTATTACATTTGAAATAATTTTATTTAGAATGTCTAGTGGATTCCCTAAATTCATATTAAATTTATGACTTACACTGATCAAACAGGGAAAAAATATAGTACAGTGGACCCCCCCATAACGATTACCTCCGAATGCGACCAATTATGTAAGTGCGTTTGTACGTGTATGTTTGGGGGTCTGAAATGGACTAATCTACTTCACAATATTTCTTATGGGAACAAATTCGGTCAGTACTGGCACCTGAACATACTTCTGGAGTGAAAAAATATCGTTAACCGGGGGTCCACTGTACTGTAACAAGTGTCACAACAGTTTAATGGGTATTGTGTACTTAAACACTGAACAGTACAGGTTAGTACAGGTGCTCCTCAACTTACAATGGGGCTACAGTCTGATGAGCCCATTATAAGTTGAAAATTTCACAAGTCAAATATGAATATGATAAGATAAATAATTAGATAAACTGATGTAAGTGAATAAATAAACAAAAAATTACCATAACTAAATACCAGTATTAAAGGTAAATAAATGAATAGAAGTTTCTCCTATCAATAGTACAGTACAGTACAGAATGTCAATGTGCATCTCTGCTGCACTATCATAAAGTCAAAATATTGTAAGTCAAACCAGCATAAAACAAGGAGCATCATATATTTCTTGTTCTATAAAATGTGTATCACATAAGCCTACAGTATCTAAATAATGTTAATTCAATGCCCTATGCAAGCACCTTGGGGCTAGACTGCATCACCATACCTTTGTGATTTTATGTGAGGGTCTGATAGGGAAGGAAACTGTGGAGGCAGCTCTGACATCTGGTGCCAAGGCATCGAATCCCCACACTTGACGTCGACTTTCCCTCTCTGTTGCCACCACTGACGGAAGGAACACCTGGGGTAGGGTAGCTGGGGGAGACAATAAGTAAATGATAAAGGAAGAATTTTTACGAAAATTCAGATGTGGATATTGTCCTTATTACGAGTGTAACCTCATATATTCCATTTGTATAATTAGAAACTGAAAAACACATATACTGTATATATAGCCTCTCCTCACTTAGCAATGTACTCGTTTACTGACGACTCAGACTTACAACGGGCTCTCTGACCAGTATGCATAGCTGATTTTCTCTATTCTGTTTATTACAATGTACAGTACACTGCTGAATAAACATTTAAAAATAAACTAAAAATGTTAAAAATGGTGCAAAGGTGACATTAAAACAATAGCAAAGATGGTTGACACAAACCCACTACCATTATAGTATGCTCCTCGTTTAGCGACGAATTCGTTTACCGATGTGATCTTAGGAACAAACTCTGTCGTTAAGTGAGGAGAGTCTGTATATTAGAAAATACTGAAGAGTTGACATTTAGGGAATAAAAATCTTGATATGTATGACAGTCTTACTTATCACAGAAGCCTACTGTATAGGCAAAACATTTCAGAATAAAGATACCTAACTGTTGCCCATGTGTCTTACCTATCAACCTATTAGTACTGTATACCATTTTCATATTTAATATAAATCTTAAATGATAAGTGTGCCTAAATTCTGTGCATTATGTCAAAGGTACTTAATACCAACAAGATGATGCATAACACATTTGAATAAACCATGAAATGGGTAGTGATTGAACCCATGGGAAGTGAGCCTTAAAACCCCAGTGCATAAGCACTGGGTCCAATCCACACTTGTTAAGTTGTTTGTCTGCAATCATGTATGTGGGAATCTTTATTTGAAAGACATTTCAAACCTGCTATGCAGGCTTGATAAATTACCATATTTTATGGCATCAAAGATGCTATTTTGTCCTAAAATATTTCTCAAAAATTTATCCAGCATCTTGAAGCCTGGAGTATACCTGGAGAGGGTTTTGAGTGTCAACACCCCCATGGCTCAGTCTGTGACCAGGCCTCATGGTGGAGCAGGGCCTGATCAACCAGGCTGTTACTGTTGGCTGCACATAAACTGACATGCAAATCACAGCCCAGCTGATCAGATACTGACTTTAGGTGCCGGGCAAGAGCCATCTTTTTTTCAAAATTTAGCCAATTAGAACTAGGGGGCATCCTTGATACCGAGATATCTTGTTCACCATAAAATAAGATAACTAAACTCCCTTGGTAGCAGTTACCATTATCCTCCATGAGGGCCTACCTTGGGAGGCAAGCACACCTGCCCTAACAGAGGCAGAACCCAAATCAATGACGAGGGTGTCTCTGAGGAGAGCAGGGTTGGTGGGCATGGGCCAGGGCTGCACATACTGGCTGGTGAAGTCCTCTACTGTGTGTGTCTCAAGTGCTCGCCTCCATCGCTCAGCCTCCTGCCGAGAGCTGCAACGCACCACAACATAGTGTCCTTTCTGTAGGTAGAGGCATTCAAGATGAAGGAAGTAGTTTGTAATATACCAAATGCTACATAAAAATATCTTTGTATAACACCACACAAAAATGACAGGAAGATAGACCAATATGCAACAAGAAGACAAGGAAGACAGTGGAGGGCCCTGGGAAACTTACCCCGTCGTCTATGCCGAGTACGGCAGAGGCCTTAGAGTCTCTGCTCTGCTGGGAAGGGCAGCAACAGGGCAGAGAAGAGGAGAGATGGGTTAGTTCGTGAACATCATACATGCCCGCTGGACATAGAGACGATGTGTAGTAGGAAAATGGCAAACACAGTGTTATCAGAAAGACTGAATATGACAGTACTAACAGAAAAAAGAATAGTTTAATATTAGCAAGGAAATGATGCACATACATTAAAGGCAGTGAACAATATCATCAGGAAGATGCCTTAAGATGTAACTAATGGGAAAATGATAGTTTTGATGTGTGTTCGCTCGTAGTCAGACAGCAGACACATGAGAGGAAGAGCATCATCAGGTAGAAGGTTGCCAAGGGAGACAATATTGACAGTATAAAGAGAAGAAATGCATATTTCAGAAGAAGCTAGGATGAGAAAGAGAGAAAGGTGACAAAGATATAAACACAAAGCTGAAGGATTCATGTACAGGCACATTTTTTACAATGAATTTTAGGCACAATGGCCAAATGCTGAAGTTAAAAAATCATATGTACTTTTACACAAAAAGCTGCAAAGTACATAAATTAAAGCGAGATATAATGCTCATAACTTATAGCAAAAAAGACATTAAATTACAGTAAATTTTTCACAAAAAAATATTTTAAAAACTATTTATTAATATATTGTACATGATGCGGTACAGGCACTCTCAATGATCGACTTCTGTTCCTATAACTAGGTCATTAACCCTTTGACTGTCGCGGCCGTATATATACGTCTTATGTCCTGGTGTCGCAAAATTCAAAAAAAAAAAAAAAAATATTTTTTCTTATGAAATGATAGAGAATCTTTTCCCGATTGTAATGACACCAAAAAAAACGAAATTTGATGGAAAACTGACGGAATTATGCTCTCGCGAAGTTAGCAACCTCGGCGCCGTTTACAAATCGGCGATTTCGCCCGCTTTGAGCCCTATTTTTGGCTAATTCCATTGTTCCAGTCGCCCAAACTCATAGCTATTTCTTTAGAACTCCATTTTTTCTATCGATTGAGTACAAGAAACTGCCCATTTACCGATTTCAACTACCTAATAATGTGGTCAGAAATTTGCAATTTGGCCAATTTCACGAAAACTAAAAAATATGACAATTTCAAAATAAGGTCCAGAATGAACAATGCAGACATTCCTGGCTCTAAAATAACATTTTCTTTGCTCATCAGTCGTGTTTCCAGGCCCCTCTGATATTACTCTTGCTTTCTATTTTGAATTTTTATTCAAACAAAAAATTGAAGACTTACTATTATGCAGACTACTGCAATACTGTAATAATTGTATAAATAACATCAACCCATTCATGACTGCATATTAGAATGGCTAGTTGGACATTTACTGGAAAATGGCATCATTTGCTTACTTTTGAACATTGGCAAAAATCAAACATTTCCCCTACTTTGAGCTCCATTTCTAGGTTCTTTTTATAGTAAAATCAATCAAAATCATCTCTATTTCTATAATATGTCTTCCATTCTATCAAATGAGACCAAGAAAACGAGAATACAACCATAAATACTATACGAAAATAGACCACAAAGTCGGCATTTTAATTAAAAAAAACGGTCGGAGTTTTTTTTTCTCATTATGCACTGCGTGCTCCAGGATTTTTTTTATATGGTGCACACTGACCACACAGACCCATTCTCTCACATGTAGGCCTACCAGCTTTCTCCTGCTTGATTTGAAGCCGCTAGAATTTATGAGTATATATACGTCAAACACGGTACCTCGTAAGACGTATATATACGGCCGCGACAGTCAAAGGGTTAAGCGAACTGGTTGATAAGTGAGGAGCTGCTCCTTACTGGTATTTCAAGCATATTGTACTGGCAGTGGGTTTGTGTTAGGCATCTTTAGATATTGTTTTAACCCTTTCAGGGTCCGTCCCGTAGATCTACGGCTTTACGTTCAGGGTCCAAACCGTAGATCTACGCCATGAGCTCAGCTCACTCTGATAAACTGTAAGTGGTACATTTGGGCCTAGATATGAGAGAATACATCTATGTGGTATGTGTGCACCACATAAAACAGATCCTGCAGCACACTGTGTATAATGAGAGAAAAAAAATGAAATCATGATTTTTCGATTAAAACAGCAACTTTGCAGTGTTTTTTCGTATGTTTTTTATAGTTGTATTTGCGATTTCTTGGTCTCATTTGATAGAATGGAAGACATATTACAGAAATAGAGATGATTTTGATTGGTTTTAGCACTGGAAATGGCTTGAAACTGAGCTCAAAGTAGCAGAAATGTTAAATTTTTGCCGATATTCAAGAGTAAACAAACGACCTCACACGTCTAATACACGTCAGCTGGTGGGTCTAATATACATTCACAAATATGGTGATGATATTTATACAATTATTACAGTATTGCATAACAGTAAATCTTCTATTTTTTGGTGTGAATAAAAAATCAAAATGGAATTTATTTGTAAAGCCTCAAAACATAACTAATGAACAGAGGAAATGTTAGTTTAGTGCCAGGAATGCCTACATTGTTCATTCTGGACCCTATTTTGAAATTGGAATATTTTAAACTGTGTTAAATTGGCCAAATTAACAATTTCCGATCACTTTATTTTGTAGTTGAAACAATTGACTTGGCGATTTCTTGTGCTCAATCGATAGAATAGAAGTAATACTAGTGAAATAGCTAAGAATTTGGTTGATTGGAATAATGTAATTGGCCTAAAATGGGAGTCAAAGTCGGCAAAATCGCCGATTCGTAAATATCGCTGACACATCAAAATTCGCGAGAGCATAATTTCGTCAATTTTCCACCAAATTTCGTACTTTTTGTTTTATTACCTTCACAAAAAGATTCTCTACGATTTCATAAGAAAAAATAACAATTTTTTTTTTTTGAAAATTCTTGGACACTGGTGCGTGACTCCAGATTTGGGCCTTGGACCCTGAAAGGGTTAATGTCACCTTTGCACTATTTATAACATTTTAGTAAAGTCAGTAAGTCAGCCAAGTCAGTAAGTCAGTCAACTCAATTCAGTCAGGTCAGTAAGAGAAGTCAGTCAGGTCAGTAAGTAAAGTCAGTCAAGTCAATTCAGTAAAGTCAGAAAGTCAGTCCAGCCAGTTAGTGAAGTCAGTAACTCAAAGTCAGTCAAGTCAGTCCATTCAGTAAGTCAAGTCAGGTAATCTTTTTTATTTATTCTGAATAAAGAAAAGATCATCACCATCATCATAGGAGTTAACACCAAGGTTATCAGGGTTATATGGACTGGTTGGAGAGGTGGTCATAAGTCCGTGCAGTTGTTAAACAGGTAGGTCGTTAAGTGAGGAGTGTCTACATTGTACCTTTTTTTTCAAACACTCATTACAGCTATGCATTTTCTACATAAATTTTCACAGAACTCTATGCTGATACTATTTCTTTTTTTCCATTTAAATTCATGCCAAAGTTGGAGTGCATACCATCTTGCTGATATACAGTACATAATCTAGCACAGAATTTTTTTCTTTCATTTAGGACAGACTAGGGTAGAATTAGAGAGATTATGTTAACATACATCCAAGAGTGTCATGTAATGGGTCAAGTGCTTATTTCAAGTGCATGGAATGCTTGTACTACCTGCCAAAAACTACGTACTGTACTGTTTATGGAATAGACACTCCGGTTGATGAAGAAGTACATGTATATGTGTGTGTGAAGACACATTGAAGGTGCTATGGTTGTTTGATCATAGACGTGAATGGTTAAGTCACAGATGTGTTTGACTGCTTAGTGAAAAATGGAAATGGTTAATTTGGCAGAGAGATGTATGCTTGTCCTCGGTGGAAGACGACCGGTGTGTTAAAAACAGGCATGCTTCTTTATTTATAAGAATGCATTAATATGGTTGTAGATGTGTATGATTGTTAAGGTGTAGATATGCATGGCTGTTTAGCCAGAGACGTGAGTCCCTGGTGGAACAGATCACTACACCAGTGAGAGATGATGGAAGGGCAGGCATATAAAGCTGAGGTAATAAAGAACTTAAAGATAATGAATAAACCAAACGAGGAAAATCAATAAAGCAATCAGGGGACATTACTAAAGATCTCAGGGATATCACATTACTGATGGTATACAGTACTGACAAACTGATTAAGACATATATGCAACATTAGGATATCTTTATTGCCGAGATGTTTTGCTTGTACAATGGGCTTTTTCAGTTGAATACAGGTTAATATAACACTGGAGACAGAAGCAGTTTGAAGTGATCAGATGTTCAGCTTTTGTGGTAAGTCCCTCAAGCCTAAGAAAAAAGGAGGCATATAGCTTGACTTTATATACTGGGATGACATAGCTGCAAGTGACATCACATGTGAGCAAGGTCCACTAATAGAAGAGTAATAGCAGCAGAAGTTTTGAGGTAATCAGTCCCTCAGCCTTGGTAGGTGGTTTCAATGCCTAAAGCAGAGGCATGTGGTTTCACCTCGCTTCATCTTCAGTACATAAGGTCTGGCTACATGCCTCTACTGTAGTCCCGAGGGACTGACTACCTCCTACCCAGGAAAAAGGACTAATCGTTTCAAAAGAATTTTCCCATTCCAGTATTACATTCGCTTGTATTCAACTGAAAAAGAATGTTGTGCAGGTAAAACACTTCAGTAATAGAGATACCGAAGTATTGCATATCTGTCTTATTAAACAGCCCTAAGGAGTTATGAGTAAAGCAATCACAGACTGTAACCAATAAATTTCTCCAGGAATTCAGAAGAAAATATTAGAAGTTAGAAATATTGTTTATTGCAATTGTGTAAAGTCTAGTGTGAATGTATTAATGTATATAAAAAGTAACTACCAATATACACGTTCAGTATTTCTTGACTAGGAGAAAGATAAAGCAAAATATGAATGTACAGTTCCCAATAATCATTATCAAAAAACCGTTTTGTACTTCAAGGCTTCAACCAAGAGGAACTCTAAACTGTAGTTTACAAACTATAATGATCTTAAAACACAGTATGTACATGGTAACTATTGACTGCACATAGAAGTTTACTTGCAAAAAAATCTTTACTACACTTCCAAAATAATGCAAGTGTGGTGACCAACGGAACATGATAATGACTAGGAAAACATGAGTGAGGTAATCCAGGAAGCCATAATGGACCAACAATACATGAAGGAAGTCACCAATATGACATGAGGATAGGAGTGGAAGTTAGTTGAGGATAGTAGTAGTAGTTAGGAGAAAACAGAGAGACTGTGAGTAAAGATATGGACTATGGCACAGAATTGGTATCATGAATTCAGTGGGAAATGACTGAATACAGTGCTATATGAACAAATACAGTGGATGAATGGGACATGACTGAATACAATCCAACATGAATTAACACAGTGGATCAATAGGACATCACTAAATGCAGTGCAACATGAATGAACACAATGAATCAACAGGACATGACTGGATGCAGTGCAACATGAATGAACAGTGGATCAATGAGATACGACTGAATGCAGGGCAACGCAAACACAATGGAATACAAGTGAGGCAAACTTGAAGGAATATGAACGAGACCATGACGAATGCAGTGCACCTAATTATGAAGTGGAAGGAGGCACAGAGCAAGAAAAAAAAGGACACGAAAAAACAGAAAGTGTGTCCATGAACATGTAGCAGATGGAGCTAGAACCTACCCCATCGTCGATGCCAACCATGCTGGGCTCCATGCACTCCACTTTGCCTCCCATCAGTGGCATCTTCATGCTAGGCTTCTCCGTCTGGGTGCTCTGAAAGATATGGAATCAATGCTGCTTTAAACTACTAAGTCTCAAATATGCTGAATTTGCCTTCTCTGGAAAGATTAGGAGAGATGTGACTGAAAGGTATAAATAGAAAACAGGAACAAATAAAGGAGATATAAATATTGTGCTAAAATTACCAGGGTAGGACTTAAAGAGACTAAGTTAGACAAGTTAGTATTTAGAAATGATATAGGGAAATACTGGTATGATAATAATAGTTGTAAATGAGTGGAATGAACTCCTGAGTAGATTCACTACAGCAGAACTTTGGGCAGCTTTAAAAATAGGTTGAACAGAAATACATGTGAGTGTGGGTGGGTGAGAGTTAGACATGCCTAGCATGGGCCCATAGGCCTGGTGCAGTGCTCCTCATCCTTTTACATGTGTTCTTAATGGAATAGTTTTCAAGAGGAGGCAGGTGCTTCAGTCTCTATAGATTTTGCTCTCCAGAAGCTTTGTCAAGGCGGTGTGACAAAGCTCCTGAAGAGCAAAACACTGCCAAATAAAATGTTGTATTAGTTGCATATGTGCCCTGTTATGTAACATTGTCAGTAATTCTACCAACATTATTACAGCTGAATGACTAATAAAATGGTATAAAATACCGACAGGTTGTTAGGTAAGACACATATGCAACAGTTAGGTATCTATATTCCGAAACATTTCGCCCACACAGTAGGCTTCCTCAGCTGCTACCACCAATTTTTCTGTACTCGACTGAAGAAGCCTACTGCATAGGTGAAATGTTTCGGAATGAAGATACCTAACTGTTGCATATGTGTCTTACCTAACAACATTATTACAGCTCTGTTTCTGTAGCTACAAAGAGATGATAAAAATATCTAGCTCTTATGCTCTGATTACAAAGGCTCTATGATACCAGTGAGAGGACCTTTGATACTGGTGAGGCAGCCTTGTTTCAGGTAATCAGACATAACCTCCCCTTCCTTGGATTGTACTTGAATCCCTCCATTCTCTCCAGGTGCTGTATGACCTATGTGGTTTTAGCACTTTCCCATGAATGAGGAATAAATTATATTATTTTCCTTCATTAAAACAGCATTTATATTGCTTTTTATATGGCCCTGTTTTAGCTCAATTTACTATTTGCTCTATATAACTAAAAAGTATCAACACCACAAAATGCACAATGAGTAAAATCATTACCGTTTCTCAAAAGAGTGCAAAATTTTTTATATTATTATTATTATTATTATTATTATTATTATTATTATTATTATTATTATTACTACTACTACTATTCCTTTCAAGAAGAGTGCCCTGAAGCTAGTGAAAGTGTACTGATCTAAGAAACTGAAGCTGCCTTCATCCTTTCTTATCTTAACATGTTTTCTCCCAAGCACTTTATGCCCCCTTAGGGTTTAGTGCTTCCCCATGAATATATCATTCCTATGCTCGGCAACAAACTTCAGTCTATTAAACCGAGTATAGGTTACTGGCCGTCTTCTTATCACCAGTGTCGAGGTTGGGAGACTACTCTCTCCCGTCTTCGCATTGGCCATACTCGTCTTACTCATGGATATCTCATGGAGAGGCGTCTTGCTCCTCTCTGTGAGAATTGCCAAGCTCCATTATCAGTCAGCCACATTCTGTTGGACTGCCCACTTTATCAACGAGCACGCAGAATTTACCTCTGTCGTCGTCTTCGCCCCGCTGCTCTCTCTTTACCTTCCCTTCTCGCTGATGGACCCACCTTTCATCCGGACTCTCTCATTGACTTTTTGACAACGACTGACTTACTTCACAAATTCTGATACTTTCAGCCCTTTCTACTTGAATCTCTTGCTACCCTCTACCCCCGTACTATCCCCTGCCCCGCTGTTTTCTGTAACCTGCTGATCATCCCCCCTCCCTTCTGCCATCCAATTCCCTTGCTTCCTTCCCTACCCTGCAGCGCTGTATAGCCCTTGTGGCTTAGCGCTTCTTTTTGATTATAATAATAATAATAATGAATATATCATTAATATTACTACTACTACTGTTCCCACCTGGTAATAGTAGAGGACTCCATCCTTGGCCACAAAGTAGCGTCTCTTCCAGGCGTTCCAGAAGGTTGCTTTCTTTCTCCCTGAGGGCAGCTTCTCCAGGAATCCCTCAATGTTGATGTAGGTAGTACCCTGACTCTGTATTTTGGGTGCCTCGGGGATGTAGTAGAGACGCTTCAGCAAGGGCCTCTGCAAGGGTGCAAGTGATTAGGGACCTACAAGTTTATACCCTTCAAGAGGGGGTGCTTGACACTGAAGGGTTCTTGATTCGCCTAATCACCACCCATTTCATAGGCACTGTATGATTTCTCTCTCTGGTTGGAGTGAGGAATAGTCACAAAAAATTAAATATGTGTGACTTAGCGAAAGTAAATGCCCAGTGGATGATAAATAATTTCCTAAACCGAATATGATACCAGAGAAGGCCAAAAATGAAATCAGTACACTGGAGCAAAAGTTATAAAAACAAAATACAGTACTATTTGACTTTTTTTTAAACTGCATAAAACACTGAAGAACAAAAAAAAAAGTCATTTTATACACAAGGTTCTGTAAGGTAATTTATTTAAATTATATGTTCCTAGTTCATTAGGAGTTTCCAGGTACTCACTGGGTTCCAACCTGTCGTGGAGGGCGGCTTGCTCATAAGCTCCCTCAGTTCCTCATCCACCTTCTTGAACTGATTGTAAATGGGCTCTACAGGTTCTTCAGGTTCCATCTGCCGCAGGTTCTCAAAGGCAGGTGCCAGGAGGTTCTCCACGGAGTCGCTGACAGAGTTGAGGCTGTTAGTGCTGCTGGTCTTCTCGAGGGAGGAGCTGACAAGTGATGAGGTCGATCCAGAAGACCTGTGGCTCAAGGTACCATTGCCATTACTGTTGATATTGCCATTGGTTTCTGATCTGCTGTTGGACTTCCCTGCCTCGAACTGGTTCCTGAGAGCCTTGACGGAGGGAAGGAACTTCTTGACCTTAGCAGGGCTTGTAAGACTGTCATTATTATTGTTGTTGCCACCCGAAGAATTCCAATTCTTGATATCAACCTGAAAAAGACAATTTTAAAAGTCATTAAATTGCTAATCAATTTATTGCTGCTGGTTCTTTCAACAGCAGCTTGATATTGTAGAAGGAATCCTGATCCAAGAAATTTAGGCTTCCCTACACCCAGAACCAGATTGAGATTTTGTAGGCTCTTGGGCTTCAGGTACTGTGATGGCCCCAGTGATATTTTCAAAAGGAAAAAAAGTTAAAGATATATTCAATGAACAGTCAATAGTTCATCATATACGTGATGTAATAATATACTATAATTATAAATTTACAGCAGTAACTGTGAACACTTCAGCTAATCTCTGGAGGTCCTCCAGCTGGTGGAGGCCCCTGGGATGCAGCCACTAAAGTCTACGCTTTAATCCAGCCATGCCTACACCCAGTGGTGATTCCAAAAGTTTTGCATAGCAGGGTCTTATGGGTAGCATTATGGTTGGACGTTGGCTAGAGAATTTTTTTCAATTACTGAATATTTTATGCTCGTGTTGTGCCTAAATGATCACAAACGAAGCTGCGACACAATCAACCTAAGGATTTTAAAAACATGCTTTGCCGATTTATTTCCTCTCATAGCAATAATAATATTAATAAAAATTATTATTTTTAATTACTTGGGACGGCACTTGGCGTTGAGGTGACTGATGTAGCTTATGGGGAGACTGAAGCCCTGCTAACCACTCCTTGACATCACCACTGTCTACAAATCTTAGGATCAAACCTGATTACATCTCATTCCCCAAGCATTGTACTACTCCCGCAGATTTAGCACATCCCTATTAATGTAATTCTCTCCCTTTCTCAAGGTGAAGGAACCCAGTCCGTCATTTCAAAATAGGTCATTTTTTTTTGGCTGCAGGTCTGAGATTCTGATTTCAACAAAATCAAAATCACACCTGAAATTAGCACTTATAGAAAGGAAAGTGACAATCCAATCAGTTCGACTCATGGTGGAAAGTGGCAAGTGGAGAACCAATACATCTAAAGGTCAGTGTCTCCCTCACAGCCCACACACACTTAGCTGGCCCCTTCACCGCCCCCTCCATTCCTCCAGGTCTTCAACGTCGAACAGGTAAGGTAAACTAGCTGTGAACAGCAACTGGTTTGTCCATCCACACGTCCTGGTCTGTACACCCCAATGCAAATAGGTAATTACACACACACACACACACACACACACACGAATATGCACAGATAAGAAGGGAGGCCCAACGTCAATATGAAAACGACATAGCAGCAAAAGCCAAATCTGACCCGAAGCTGTTATACAGCCACATCAGGAAGAAAACAACCGTTAAGGACCAGGTAATCAGGCTAAGGAAGGAAGGAGGAGAGACAACAAGAAATGACCGTGAAGTATGTGAGGAACTCAACAAGAGATTCAAAGAAGTGTTCACAGAGGAGACAGAAGGGGCTCCAGAAAGACGGAGAGGTGGGGTACACCACCATGTGCTGGACACAGTACACACAACCGAGGAAGAAGTGAAGAGGCTTCTGAGTGAGCTAGATACCTCAAAGGCAATGGGGCCAGATAACATCTCTCCATGGGTCCTGAGAGAGGGAGCAGAGGCGCTATGTGTACCCCTAACAACAATATTCAATACATCTATCGAAACAGGGAGATTGCCTGAGGCATGGAAGACAGCAAATGTGGTCCCAATCTTTAAAAAAGGAGACAGACATGAAGCACTAAACTACAGACCAGTGTCACTGACATGTATAGCATGCAAAATCATGGAAAAGATTGTCAGGAGAAGAATGGTGGAACATCTAGAAAGGAATGATCTCATCACCAGCAGCCAACATGGTTTCAGAGATGGGAAATCCTGTGTCACAAACCTACTGGAGTTCTATGACATGGTGACAGCAGTAAGACAAGAGAGAGAGGGGTGGGTGGATTGCATTTTCTTGGACTGCAAGAAGGCTTTTGACACAGTACCACACAAGAGATTAGTGCAAAAACTGGAGGACCAAGCAGGGATAACAGGGAAGGCACTGCAATGGATCAGGGAATACTTGTCAGGAAGACAGCAGCGAGTAATGGTACGTGGCGAGGTGTCAGAGTAGGCACCTGTGACCAGCGGGGTCCCACAGGGGTCAGTCCTAGGACCAGTGCTGTTTCTGGTATTTGTGAACGACATGACGGAA